CACCCCTTTGAGTAACTCATCAGTGAGTGCTCCCACATACAAACTTGATGTATGTCTTAATAAACTTTTGTTTGTTTTTTAAAAAAATTATCAGTCATGTAAAATATGACCCAGAATCAGAAAAATCAACTGAAACCAACATAGAAGTGACAGGAATGTGAGAATTACACAAGGATATTAAAAGTTATTATAACTGTATTCCATATGTTCTAAATAGAGAATTAGAAGCTGTTTTTAAATACCCACCTTGAATTTTTTTTTTTTTTTTAAAGACAGAGTCTCACTCTATTACCCCAGGCTAAAATGTCATGGGATATGCCTAGCTCACAGCAACCTCAAACTCCTGGGTTTAAGTGATCCTCCTGCCTCAGCCTCTTGAGTAGCTGGGAATACAGGTACCCACCACAATCCCCAGCTAATTATTCTACCTTTAGTTGAGATGGAGTCTTACTGTTGCTTTCAGTTTGATCCTAAATTCCTGAGCTGAAGTGATCCTCCTGCCTCCTCCCAGAGTGCTAGGATTACAGGCATGAGCCACTGGTCCCAGTCACCCTCCTTGTACTTTAGAGATGAAAACTAAAATGTCTGAGATTTTCAAAAATCACTAGATGGAAGGAAATTTGTACTAGCTTATTTATTGCAGCTCAATTTACAATTGCCAAGATGTAGAAACAAACTAAGTGCCCATCAACCCAGGAATGGATTAATAAACGTGATATATGAATACCATGGAATACTATTCAGTCATAAAAAAGATGGAGACTTTACATCTTTTGTATTAACCTGGATGGAGGTGAAACACATTCTTCTTAGTGAACTATCACAAGAATGGAAAAGCAAATATCCAATGAGGAAAGGTGAGGAGGGGGAAGAGGAGAGGAGGGAGGGGATTACATGCTGTCACTTAATGGGCACAATGTAAGTGTATATGGCACACCTCCTGGGTGAGTGACACAAATACAATAGGAACTTTACCTAACAAACACAAACATTGTAACTTAATTGTATCCTCATATTAATCCAAAATAAGTTTTTTAAAAAATAAAATATCGGCTCGGTGCCTATAGCTCAACCGGCTAAGGCGCCAGCCACGTACACCTAAGGTGGC